TGAATGGCGATGCTGCTTTTTACTGTTCCAGAAAAAGTTGGCCGAGATAGCAATATTTTAGAAGTTATTGCTGTTACTCTAATCCTTTTTTCTTTTTGGATTAAATGCATCTTTCATATCTTTATTAGAAGTTTTTGCTTTTGAAGTTGTTCTTTTATAGACGCGAGGCATTAAAGCATATGGTAAAAATAAATGTAATGTTGCACACATGTTTTCTAATGATATACTAAGATATAAAAGTCAAACATAAATATGTTTTTACGCTGAAGTCAAAACTTTTTTAACGTGAAGTATTAGTGAGCCGTGATTTACTCCTACCCGTAAAGGAATGGCTCATTCCTCCCTTAGCTGTACAACTGGATTAAAACATTAAATGTGCAATAAGTACGTGGTTTTTGCATATAAAATACTTTGTTCTAAAAACTACATTGTTTATTTGTAAATTTTCAATGACTATCTAATGTCTCGAAACAACCGGTATTCTCGCTAAAGAAGTTTTAAAAAATACAAAAAAATTACTTTTGCCCAGAAAATAGTGGATGACAACGTAAATGCTGACACCCGCACCAAGGAGCGGTAAAAAAATTGGATTGTGTTAACAACAATTTATATGTAACTACTTGGTGAAAATTTTGAGTCTTTTTCATTCGCCGTTTTAGTTGTAGGATCAACGATTCACTCCTACCCTTGGCTCACTCCTACCCATCCTCCCCTATATTATAATTTATTTCATTAGGGCCAACTGCTTTGTTAGTTTTAAGCATTTTAAAAGCACTTTTAAATTTTGAAAAAGATCCTTCAAATTTATTTAAACTAGAGATTAGTAGAAATACATAATCATAATTACGTAATCATTTATTGGATTAATCATATTTAGAATATTTTTAGCTAAATTTTGGCTAACAGACATGAAATATTTATTTAATTCTCTTGCTAATTTTTTGGGTTCATATAAAAATACGCCTTTAACTTTTATAGTGTTAGGCACAGAACATAATTTTAATTTACTATTTCCAGTAATTTGATTTATAATTTGCCATGTGCGTTTTGAATTATGTTTATATTTTTCTAGTAAATCATAGTAATATCGTTTTTTAAATTTTTTTCTTTGACTTTCAAACATCATAGCATAATTTTTATAAATAATTTTATTTTCTGGTGTTGGTTTTTTTAAGTACTTTATATACAGTTTTTGCTTTATTTTTAAGGATTTCCTAAGATCTTTATTGACCCATGGTGACTTTAAACTTTTATTGGTTATAATAAATTCACGTTTTGGAAAATTTACATCATATATTTAATAGAGAGTTTGAAAGAACGTATACTTCATTAGCATTAAATGAACTTTTTATATGATTCCAATTTATTAAAGATAATTGATCCTTAAACGATGCTAGATTTGCATCGGTGAAAAAGCGTTTGATAATGACTTTTTATGTTGTTGTATTAACTTGTTGTCAATATTAATAGAGAAAAAAAATAGGGAAGTGGTCGGAAACGTCACTTTTTATTATATCTTTTTTAAGAGTTTTATTAAAGATATCGGTTGTTATAATGTTGTCAATGAAGGTAGCTGAAGTTGAGGTAATAATCTTCATAATCTTCATAGTCATCAAGTTATAATCTTCATAATCATCAAGTTGAGGTAATAATCATCATAATCTTCATTTTCACTGTTATCTAGCTCATCTATGAAGTTTTGAGTTTCTGATCGGCTAATTGGCGACCTTTATGAGTCATCATTTTTATGTCTTTTTAAGTTAACATTTGGCCAATAGTTCTTGATAAAATGACTTAAAGTGTTGTTTTTCCGGACTGTTGTGGACCATATGTTCATAATTTTAATTCAGAAATGCAACAGAACATAAGATTTTTGAGATTTTGTGTAAAACATCGAGGCATACTTAAAAACATCGAGGCATACTTAAAAACATAGAGGCATACTTAAAAACATAGAGGCATACTTAAAAACATAGAGGCATACTTAAAAAAAAAAAAGGCGAACTTCGGATCTAGCGAGAACGTTAAAAGGCGTACTTCGGAGCAAAAAAAGGTTAAATCCAAACAAATCATCTTGAAATCATTTAAGTTCTTTTTTAACTAAAAATTTTTTAAATGAGATAAATATTTTTAAATTCGAGTGTTACCTGAGAAAAGTTCTGATGGGCTAAAAAATCATTAAAAGCTGAAAATTAGGGGGCCCCAAAAATATTGGGGACCCTAGACGGGTCTTATGTGCCTTGACGAAGATCAGGCCCTGCGCCCACCGTTTCAAATTTATCTAGTAGTTTTATGTTTATAAGATACTCCTGCATCCTAATAACAGCCTGAAAAAGAAAAAAGTTAATTATAAACAAGATTATAAACGATATGTTTTATGAGTAATTATCCGAAAATAGTATCTAACATTTGTTATTAAAATTTAAGGATTTAAATAAATGAATTGAGGATTTTAAATAAAGAAGAATTAAGCCTCTATAGCTAAAGTTTCGTCAAGTTTTTGTTAGTATTAAAAAGAACATCCGAGTTTATTAGGATGCGATTTTGAACCTTTGCAGCAATAAGTTTTTGCTCCGCACGTTTTTTAATGACCAAGTGGCGAAAACTAGGTTGCATGGCAAATAAAAAAGTAAAAAATGTTGCATGGCAAATAAAAAAGTAAAAAATTTACCAAAAAACTTTTGCAGCCGTAAACACTGGGTGTTTGCAGCCGTAAACACTGGGTGTTTGCAGCCGTAAACACTGGGTGTTTACGGCTGCAAAAGTTTTTTGGTAAATTTTTTACTTTTTTTTTTTAATACTTTTTAATCTTTGTTTTTCTTTGAATCGATCAATTAGTAAAACATTTCTTTTGCTTTTATTTTCAATGTCGACGCTTTTGATTTACGGTTGATATTGTCTGTTAAAATTTTCATTTTTTTACTAACTTATACTTTTTTTTAAAAAAACCTCACAAAAACTAATCTAAATGTTTGTCAAATTGTTGTTAATCTTGCGTTTCATTTATCAGCTAGGGGAGGGTGGGGAGGCGGAGGGAGAAATTCCTTTACTATTGACTGCAGCTGTAAATAAACACAATTATTCTTAGAGAAGTTTACAATCAGACACACTAACTTTGCAAAGTGGCTTGTGATTGGCTCCAATGGTCAACAAACAATAATTAGCTTCAAGTTTGAAGCTAACTATTGTTTATTGACCATTGGAGCCAATCACAAGCCAGCCAGATTTAGGAGCCAATTTTCTTAAACACTTGATTATTTAGAACAGTATTGAAAGTTATTAATATAAAAACTAGATCTTTAAAGTCTTTAAAAAAAATTAGCTTCAAAATTAAAATAAAAATATAGTAAAATTAAAATTAAAATATAATATTTTGAATTTATTATATTTCTATTTAAAACATTTTTTATAAAAAAAATTTTAATTTATTTTTTGCCCAGCGTCCGTCTCTTTCCCCGATATTCACAAAATCATTATGCATCTCCTTGTTTCTCTAAAAATAAATGATTGTAAAATAAAAACTTCAGTTTTTATTTTATAATCATTTATTTTGAGTTGACGTTTTATCCTTATAGTCGTATTATGTAAAAGTATTTTGAAATACTAACTTAAAAAACATTCTTTTTATGGCATTGTTGCAAATTAACCCCGTTGCAACCAGTCCAGACCAGTAGATAAGGTAGCATACAAAAAGAAATTTTACCTGAAAAAAGTTATAAATTTATTGACTTCAGATGAATGAAATCTAAATTAATTGATTTCAATGGAGCAAAGATTAGATTTACTAACCTAAAGAAATGATAGAAATACCGACACTTATAATCTAAAAACACATGATCGAAGTTTGCCATAAAAAACATCAAGTTTAACTATCAAAAGCTTTTAAAGAAATAAAAAAATCAGTAAAAAAATAATAACAAATAAGAAATTATAAACTTGTTTACCACAAATATTTAATTGATACAATATAACCTAACTATCATCATTAAAAAAAAATACCTGATAAATAACTTAATGTAAATATATTAATGCGGAATTAATGAAAAGCAATTTAAACTTATGAAAAAAACACTGTCATTGTTAGTATATTTAGTGCTACGATTGTATAAAGAATGAATAACAAATTACTCCTTGTTATTTTTAGGAAAATAACGGGTAAACAGCAACACGGTGTTTAACCGTTACCTTACTAAATTAGTTTTCATTACTTTTGATATGACATTAAATATTTTATGAAAATTTAAACTTTTTATAAACTTACCGTTAAAAAAGCAAAATCATTAAAAGAATTCCTATTTTACAGGTATTCTGTTTCTACTCAGATGCCATTGATTTGGTTTGACTAAATGATTTTTTAAATAACTATTTCTAGCATGTTTAATGTGAAACAATGGTTTTTTTTATATGCCATATGTGACTCTTTGATGCCATTGTTGTACCATTTATAAATCTTTATTGGTATTGTTGTATCATTTATAAAACTTTTAAACGTTTTCATGTTTAAGCAAATCATATGATATAAACAATTTAATTTATGTTAAAAATTTAACTATAAAATATGGTGGTTAAATATAATCATAAATTTATAAATATGGGTATTTATGAATTTATGATGGGTAAAATTGGTAATGAAACTTATATACATTTTTTTTAACTTTTTATTTTTAAACATTATTTAAAAAGTAATAGGAAAACAAAAAGTGAAAATTTATTAGACCATTATGGAACGCTCTTATCATTCCCAGATAAAATTGTAGTTTACAATAGCGCCTCTAGCTTTTCCACTTACCAAGATTTAAGTTATCTGCAGCTTAGTGCTACATAACAAAGTAGCAGACTTAGGAACGCGCTCAGATTATGCTTTACGCGTTATATAACTTTAGCACGATCTTTAATTAAAACAATTTTTAAGTTTACTTTGTATAACTAGAAATTTAATCCGGTTTCTCATTGAACAGTGTAGTTTTGTAATGCTAAAAAATTGGTAATGCGAAAAATTATGACTTTAAACGTAGGAAAGACACCAAAATTTATTTCTTATTAACTTTTACCCTTACGCATAGTATAAGGTGTTTCTTTTTAAATCAAACTTACATTAAAAATTATTCTTGTAAGGAATTTGGAAAACATGTATATTTATGTAAGTTGATTTAATATTTAGTTCATAATTTTCTTTTTGTTCAAAACATCATATTTTTTTAATGTATCTATGGCAACCAAAAATCTTATAACAACTCTTATATTGTACGACATTAAATTTTACAAACATTTATTAATTGAAATTTTTATATTGTACGACATTAAATTTTACAAACATTTATTAATTGAAATTTTTCAACAAGGTTAAATATTTTGGAGTCTGTTACAGGAAATGCTTCATTTATTTGCAAATAGATTTAGCATTTTTTAAAAATTCACAAAAGCAATATCAACCAAACTTCATATCTTCTCTATATGATCATGATAAGGATCTTTATTGATTTTTTTATTGAATGACGTAATACATTATTACCTTTTTTTACTAGAGTTAATCCTCTACACTGATGGTATCTTAAGATTTGTAAAAATGATGAACCTCATTAATATGATGCAGAATTAAAGGAAACTAAATAATCTCGTAAAACGACAACTTTTTTAAACATTTTATTTTCGGAAAAAAGGTGCAAAGTTTCACAGAAGGTTGGTTCTAAGGTTAGTTGTTTTAATAATTAGATTTGCTTCTTTTTTTTATTTTTTTTTTTATAATTTTTAAACAGCAGAGTCATTTTTAAAACAACTACATTAAAATAATATTACCACTAGTGCTTTTTTAATCACAATTTCCCGCTTCATAACTTAAATAAGTCAACATATATTTTTAAAAAAACGTAAGGTTGAGAAAGATTTTTTTTTATCTATGACTTTCCATGAACAAAATTATTACTTCCTATTATTTTTAGCTAGAAAAGCAATAAAATATAAAAAATAACAAAATGTGATGAGATCTTACTCATCAATTTATAGAGAACGATTTTTAAACTTATGAACATTTTTTTGTAAGAATCTTCAATGTATAAATAAATAAAAAAAGTTGGGGAATTAAAAAGAAAAAAAATAATTTAAAAAAGTCTAAAAAATTGAAAATAGTGTTAAAAGTGATGTATAAAATTAATGTATAACATTTATGTATACCGTTTCAAATGAAGATCATTAAATTAACGATTAAATTATTAATTTTTTTTTCTTCATTTATTATTTTTTTTTTAATAATGAGATTTTTAAGAATTTCATTTAATTTTTGTTCTTCATTACATGATTTAAAATACAAACGTTTAAGAAAACAATATAAAAAAGAATAATTACAATTGAAAAAGTTAAGGATAAATATAAAGAACGCGGACACTCTAAGAAGACCATAAGGTTTTGTCAAAAAAAAACCGCTGTTGAAACTTAGACATTTCTTTCGCTTTAATCTTAAATTACTTGCTTAAAGGTGCTTGCAACTAAATTACATAGCCTTCCAAACGACTGTCTCATGCAACTTTTTTCTGTAATTTTCAGATAAATTTCACTTTCTCGAAATCAAAAGAGTAATTTTCATTCAATGATTGTTATTTAATATTTCAAGTTTTTCTACTTCATTTTATATCTACGACTGATTTCTACATGAGTTGCATGTTTTTTTTGCTGCGTTAAAGTATATGAAAAAAGCAAATCATTTTCTATTTTTTATTACCACACCATAATGAAAATACTTTTGATGAAAAATATTAGAACACAGGCTGCAGGTATTAAAAATACATACCTTGTTTAAATATAATCTAGATTTTGAAAACATTTTATTGACATTTAAAAAAAAAGAAGCTAAAACAAGCAGATCCTAAGATTTTAGCTTTCAAGGTAGATAACTTCCAAACAGTACATGCTTAAAATTTAAAACATCTATAATAATGTCTAAGTAAGAAGATTTAGAAAATCTTTACTTCAATTAGAGCCTGGGAACAATAAGAAACTATTATTTTTTGTGCTGCTATCTCAAACAAGGTTTCAATCAAAAAAATTAAGTATTTTTCATAATATATAAAACTAGATCTAAATTAAACAAAACATTTAATTAAAAAGAACTCTTCTTGTTAAAATGTTAAAAGTATTTATAGTTGTTATTTAATCTTTTTTTTTTAAAATTTTTATATCAGCAAAAAATAAATAGAACACAACAAAATTAAGTGATCAGTGATGTTTACTTAATTTGGACGTTTTTTAAACGTAAAACAAAATTTTAACCATTTGAGAAAGAAATATTAATTCTTCTTTTACAAGAACCTTTAGGCTTTAGATTCTTTTTTATGTTCTTTTTTTTTTGTATAGGAGATTTACTTCTTGCAGTCGCAATGCAAGATAAGTTTTTTTAAATAGAAGGCATCAAAAATATAAAAAGGAGTTTTTATTAATTTGTTGTACTAAAATTGAAGTTTTTGATGCAGAATGATTAGAATTAAGTTATCAAAAGTAAAGATTATATTAAAAATGATTTATAATGTAGGTTTTGAATAATCCCAATTCTATAGGACAATTATAAAAAATATTAGTATATATGTTATTAAATAATATTGACGAGGTCTTAGTTGTTCTGATTGACTTGTTTGTTGTTAAAGCTAGACAATGTTAAACAAGAGTATGTAAAATAGATTGAACATTTACATTTTATGTTATAAGTAGATAAGGAGATAAACATGAGGTAAAATTAAATTAAATTAATTAAATTTGTTAATGTGCTAATATTTTACTTTTTGAAGCCCACATAGGACACTATGTAATGATTGTGGGGACTCTAGTTACCCGTATCTTAATTGAAATCAAGTCATTTTTTATAAATCCTTGTTTTGTATAAACGTTTCTTTATAAGGATTTTTTTGTTTATTGTTTGAATATATGATTTAATACAAAAAAAAAAAAATTGACTTTAATCTTAGAAAGAGGATTTTTACAACGTTTAAAAAAGACCTGTTAAAAAAAAGTTACTTTTAATTTTTGTTTTACAAATGTCTGCCAGGTTACAGCTTGTGCCAACCCCAATATAATTTTTAGATCGGCTTACAACATGCTCTTCCATTTCATTTAGTTCATTGCTTTATTAATTAAGTTGTTAACATTATATTTATTATTGTATACAATTTTTTTTTCAACTCTTTATAATTAAATTTGCTTTTTCTTTAGCAAATGTAAATCAATGCATAAGAATGATTTGGGATTTGATTTTAAGAAGTAGTTTTTTGTCGTTTATTTTTGTCTTCGGATTGATCGGTAACGTGTTTGTTATATATTTTTTCTCTTTCAAAATGAAAAAAGCACCAAACTTCCGTTGGTTAATCATACATCTTGCAATTGCTGACGTAATTTACGGAATAATCACTCCAACCCAGTTTTTATATTTGCTTTATACAAATGGTGAATGGCGGTTAGGTGTTGCAACGTGTAAATTTGTACTGTTTGTTAGCCCATTAACTACAAACGTAAGTGCATGGATACTATGTTATATGGGTTATGAGCGACATAGAGCAATATGTTACCCGTTTTCGCCTCGATTATCAGTGCTAAACATAAATATTGGTGTGTTTTTTATATGGGTATCCTGTATGCTTTTAAAACTACTACATATTTTACGAGGTGATGTTTATATGAAAGAATGCGTCTTTTCCGCTTTAAGCTCAACAGAATATAACGCAAACGCAATCTTAACATTAATAGTTGATAGCTTGATTCCAATGGTTCTATTGATTTACTTCTTGTTACGAGTAAATGTGACGTTGCGGTTGCGTGCAAGATATTTAGACGACCTCAGAAGTAATGTTCCAAGTATTAATATGAATTCAATTTTTCTTGCGCAAAGAAAAAATTTTTACAGAGATGTAAAAAATACAGAAAACGATCTTTTTGTAAAAATTAATGATGAGCAAATTAACCCATTTAGGTTGTCAAGAGCTGTGTCATTTTGTGAAAAAAGGCGGAATGCAATTTGTTTTGATCCAAGTCTGCAACGTGCTGCGCGTATGGCACAAGAAGGTTATTGTACAGAAAACATAGAAGATTTGAACATATGTAGACCTTTATCAAGTAAAAATCAGTTACGGTGTCAGAATCACAGTATTAATACTTTAGTAGCTACAATAAGTCGCAAACGAGCCTCATTAAAAGAACTGTCAAGAATAAGGATCAAAGAAGCAGGTGATCGAGCTATTATAAATGTGTTTTCACTGACAGTCATAGCCTTTTTTTTATCATCGCTTCCATATAATATTTTTTATTTAGTAGTAATACTGTTGTATTCGTCTTTTTTTACGGAAGACGATATTAAAAAGCACAGATCTAAATTAATGATTGCAAATAATTGGCTTTCGCTTTTGGTTGTGTTTGGATGCGTGATTAATATTTTTATTTACAGCGGAATGTTTCCCAATTTCCGTCGCCAGATGCATGGATGGCTGCGTAGAAAAAGTAAAAGAACAGTTAGGTTATTTTTTGTTTCGTGGAAGAATATTCTTATTGGAGTACGAAGCTAAAAAAAAAAAAAAAAACAATTAAAGAGACGCTTTTTATAATATATTTTTTTAAATTTTTGTATTTAAAGATGTTGTAAATAAAAGTCAATAATTAAGTTATATAAAAGTTTGTAGAGTACTTCATGCACGTAAAGGCTGCACAGTTTGAAAACCGATTTTAAAAACTATTTTTCAAATTGTTTTTCATGTTTTTCTTAACACTACTGTTTTCAGTTGATTTTTAATTGTTTATCACTAATTTATTGTTCAGTTAAATAATAAAAATTTAGTACATTTTATAGCTTTGTTAAAAAAAAAAGTATTTAGACTGTTTTTTTAAAACTTAGTAAAATTTAATATTTTCAAATTTAAGTTAATTTTTTTAAAACTTAGTAAAATTTAATAATTTCAAATTTTGAAATTTAAGAAAATGATAATAGCTTAATTTTCAATTTCATAATTTTGGGTGTAAGTGAAAAAAAAAACTGACATCAAATGAAAATTTTTTTATGAGCTATGTCTGTTTTGATTATTGTAAGTCAACTGCGTGTTTAAAAAATCCTCGCCATATTATTTGTTTTCGTACTGCAATTATAATAAATTTATCTTGTCAATAGCATAAATATCAGTTGCTAAATATAAAAAAACCAAGAAATTGTAAATGCCTCCCCACCCTCCGTTTAATATTATTCACAGCAAACGAGGAAAACGTTTATTAGTAAATCTTTTTTTTTTAATACGCGCTTTAATATATAATTGTAAAGTCAATTTTTTGCATATTTTGTTTGTAAATATATTCAAGTGTTCATTAAAAATATTTATGCAATCAATTACGGTATTATTTGATTACGGCTTACCTTACAGTTTGCACAGTTTTATCATGTGAACTAATTTTTTTTTTATGCAGAAAATTTTTTTTTTGCTGTAACAAACTTTCATATAACATGAATATTAGAAAGTTTATTGTAACAAATAATCTACTGGGTATTAGGATTTGGTTTAGGATTAGGGTATTATGAGCATCTTAAGTAAAAATTAGAATATTTTCGAAAATAATTATGCTGAATTTACAATTTTTGCGAATCAACAATTTTTAGGGATGACTACTCATGATCTACTTATTTATTTGGACATTCGAAGTTTTTTTTGTAAAACGGCACCAAAAAATAACATTAGTTAAGCAAAAAAAAACCTACCTGACAATTAGAACTAATTTATGGTGGTACTAAAGCTATTATTAAAATGTTAAATAAAGTATTAAAAAGTTGTTAATTAGAAGTTTTATATATAAAAAACTAAAATATACAAATTTTGAAATAATTTGTAACAAAAAAATTTTCTTTGCCTCGCTTACCCAAATCTAAAAACACATAAAGACAAAAATACGCAGAATGCAATATCTCAAAATAGAGTCATTTAATTGCTCCCAAACTTTACAATAACATAAGTCCCATAATGATGTAGGAGTTGTACTACAATCATTTACTGTATGTATATAGTTTAGGAGTAAAGGCAATTTTACCTTATTGAACCAGCTGCGGGTGTCAGATGGGGGAAATATCTGGCATTATTTCATGAACTATTTTGTATTAGATCTAAATTCTAGTACAACTCCTGCATATGAGTATCATGAATACATCCTGAAAATTTAATTGTAATTGCACCTTTAGATCTTGAGATATTTAATTCTGCGTAATCGTGTATATTGAAAATATTCAAATGGCAAAAAACATGTTTTAAAAACAATAAACTTTTACAGTCAACTACCAACCACCAATAGAATAAGCTGGTAGTTTTTCTGATTCATTTTCAATGTCTGAGTAACCTTTTCTTATACTTTTAAGGATTTTTCTTTGTTATATTCCTTTTTTTGATGATTTTCTTCTCATATTTCTGATTCGTTCATTGTTTTTTTTAATAATCCTTTATTCATAAATTGTCCGACAGGAATTTTTAAACGTTCAAAAACTTTGCAAATATCAGTAGCACCTTCATTAAATTGTAGTATTGCAGATGAAACTCCTTTCTCCAAAACCTTTTTTCCAACAAAAATATTTTTAGGGTATTTTTTCCATATTATAGAATTTAAAGCTTCATTGTTGTTTTGGGTAAAAATTTGGAAAGTAACTCATCACTTGAAAGATCATGAAAAATTGGGAGAAGAACAGCTTTGATTGACAATGGTATATTCAATGTGGATTTGTATTTGTTTTGATCATTAAATCTATCTGTTTGCCACAAGCACCAACTGTTTTTGGATTGAGGGCAGAATTGATGGCGTTCGATGGGATTACTTATATTACTATTATGAAATAACACAGCCCAAGCAGATTTCTTTATTGGTTATAATAGTTTATTCTGCCTAATTGCCATTCCATAATAATTTTGAAGTTTATTTATAACTTTATCTGTCAATCTTCCTGCCCCATTCAAATTTTTTCCATCACTTAGTTTTTTTCCCTTCATACTTTGAAGCAAACTGCGACATTTGCCATGTACCATCAACTGAGACCTGGCAATTTGTAATGCTATTGTTATCAAAAGTATTGGTAGCAAGTAAACTCTTTGTTTCCAAAGCTGCATTGCTCATGCTTTCTGAAGCTGCATCGTTATAAAAAGTATGTAATTTATTATTTATTAATTGATATCCAGGAAATGATAATGGTGTCGGCATGTTCATAATGTTAGCAAATGTTCGGATTCCCTGATAACCTTGACCAATCTCACGAAAAGCTATAACCATTTGATAATTAATGCAGCTTACAGCTTTTCCTAAAGTAAGTTTATTTGTTTTCTGTGAGCTTTCAAATTCATATTTCCAGTCACAATTAGTGCAATTCAAACATAGACGATAAGAAAATCCCTTTTTTTTGTTGAAATTAATTGATAAAGTTACTGTTTTCTTACATTTGAGACAAAAAATAAATTTTACAAGCTCATTCTGAAGAATTGAAAAGTTTATTAAAATGTTATAATCATTGT